AGGGCCCGTTCGTTTGGAGAAATTTGGAGGAATCTGGATGAATTTGGAGGAATTTGTGAGAGAAAAATATTGTTCTGGATAAAAAAAAGAAGCGGATCAAACCGGATTTAAAGGCACACGAACGAGGCCGAAATTGTGGTTTGGCTTCCTGGCCTGGTTTGGTGTAGCGGAGCCGGTACACTCTTAGCGCACGTGTTCCTTAGCAACAGTCGTTCTTCCCATGCAATCCTCAGCAGCAGACCCTGATGATGGCTGCTAACAGAATGTAGTCTGCACAGAAGGCTTGGGAGGTGCCGTGGTTGTTGCTGAATGAGACACGGAAATCCAGAAATTGAACACCTGGTTTGGAAATCCTCTCAGCTGGTTCGCCATTGCTCCTGTTTTGTCTACACAAGTGAGCCCTTGTTTATTTGGAACCCAAATTCTAAAAAGTTGCTATAGTACCTGTCACATCGAATATTTGCGGCCCGTGCATGGAGCATTAAATGTAGACGAAAAGAAAAACTAATTGCACAGTTTGGTGGGAAATTGCGAGACGAACGTTTTGAGCCTAATTAGTCCATGTTTGAACACTATTTGCCAAATAAAAACGAACGTGCTACAGTAGCCCCAAAATCTAAATTCATAGAACTAAACAAGGGCTGAAGTGCCATTGCTCCAGAAAGATTGGCCGGTTCGCTTTAGCATACAATTTATAATCTTGACCTGTAACTGAACGACTTTCAGTTTGTATCCCTGAACCTTAAGTTTATTTAATGAAAATTTACTGTGGGGACCTCCCCACAGTCTTTTGTCAAAAACTGAACTTTCAGGTTGCCAAAATTCATTGTATTCCAGTATTCCCCTCTCTGCCTTATGGAATTCAATTGTTTAAAGTGGACTATATTGTGGCACAAGGCCGTTTAATTTGTTATAATCTCAAAACAATTCAAATCATGAAAGTCAAGGCACTGGTTGGTTTAGGAAGATAAATTTAGATATGTGGCACTGAATCTGCATGCCTCACTACTACCCAAATCGCGCGTCTTTAAAAATTTGTCACTCCACAGCTCGAATTCTTTTGATTCAATTCAATTGTTTATTCCCTTTTCTTTCTCTTTATTTTCCTTTGTTTCTCCCATTTTCTATTTCTAGACCAAACTAAAAAGACAGTTTTTTTGCCCTTGTATAAGGACCAAAAAGATTGGTTGGTTTAATTGGACTATAAAAATTAAGAAAATAATCTTAGCCTATACAAAAGTGGAACTAACCTAGAAAGGAAATACTTTTCACTAAAATGAATAGGGGCCGATGTTAATTTCATAATATTGATCTCAAATGTTAATCGCCAAACTAGTAGGCTGGAGGTCCTAAAAAAAAGCAGGCTGGAATAGATTTCTATCTACAAAATTAATTAAATATATTGGATTAATCAACCTTGTTTCGATCTTGTTTTGATAATTTGATGTACTCCATGCGTGCCAACTCGGAGTCGGATAGATCTGCAGCCGATGGTCGCGCTACGCAGCTAGTACAAATATAAGTGGACTGGAGAGAATCCGAGCTAGCGTTCCGCTTCCGCGGTTCCGGGCGGTTGCAGATATGGCGGCGATCACACCAGCAGAGGCGTCCTGCTCCTGCTTCGACGTCGACGAGGAGAAGCTGACGGAACTGAGGGAGCTGCTGCAGGACGGCGCCGCCGAGGTTGATGTAGGCCTGGAAGAGGGATTCAGGGCCTTACGGTGCCGGGCGGCGGCGCTGCAGCACGAGGAGCGTCTCTCTTCCGAGTCGTGGGACTGGGCGGAGAACATAGAGGACCTGGCGCGGCGGGCGGCGGAGACGATGCGGGAGGAAGGGGACGACATCCGGCGGGCCGTGTCGGCGCTGTCGTCGCTCAGGCGGCCTGTCTCTGGCAAGGACGACGCGGCGTTCGTCGAGGCGCTGCGCGGGCGCAGGCCGCCTTGTCGCGCGCCGCCTGCAGGAGAGGGAACTCCGGAGGGCGGCGAGTGAGGAGCTACATTTTTTACAATCTAATAAAAACATACGATGTGAGATAGCCGGCGAAGTGGATATGAGTTTTGACATTGATCGTGGCAAGAGCCGAAGCCAAGCTCGGACCGGGGTTGGGAGGAGGGAGAGCAGCGACGATGGCTGCAGCCAAGGCAGCGGCAGCCTGGGCGTCGTCATCTGCCATGGAGGAGGAAGGATGGGAGGAAGGAGGGACACGAGGTAGAAGAGAAGTCAGGATCGGTAATCAGGCTGATATCATGATAGTAACTGGCTTAGCACTATCCATTCATTGAGCAACAGTTTAAATAGAGATTACATGACCCTTCACGTAATGGGACTCTTCAATGTAGACTCATCATATTCTAAACCATACGTATTCTAATAGCAAGAATGCACATTACGTATGTGGCAGAAATGTGTGTGTTTTATTCACACAGATCACGATCGAATCCCACTCAGACTTACTAGTTCATTCAGAACCGATTACAGTTTACAGAGCACGCACACAGCACGAACAACAGACAAGAACGCACGCCATGCAGCTTATTACTAGCTCCGATCCCATCCCGGACTCGAGCTCACCATTCTCTAGCTCTCAGGTCCAAACGAACGCCGCGACGGCGAGCACGGCGGCGGCCACGCCCAGGAGGTAGCCCGCGCCATCAGTCGGGCCCGTCCCCGCAGCGCCGCTGCTGCTGCCGCCGTACTGGGCGCTCGCGGCGCCGAGGTGCGCGGCGACGCAGGCCGCCAGCAGCAGGACGGCGGCGAGCACCTTGGAAGCAGACGGCTGGTCCATCCTGCTCCTGCTGCACTGGAGACTACTCGGAACTCAGTCTAGAGTCTGGACGCTCGTGAGCAACCAGGAAGCAGGACGCTGGGATTATGTAGAGAGATGCAGACAACCCTGCTGGTGTCATGGTGTTGGCAAGCAGTGACATTGGAGTCATCGTTCTGTCACGACGGGTAGCGGCTGCTCTGCATTGCTGCTTGCCTGCTTGCCACATTTGGAGCCTGGGCGGCTTGATCTGGTCATCTGGACAGTTTGGTTAGTGCACATTCGTCCGAGGGTTCGGCCAAAATGAACAGTTGGTGCCTCGGTGCTCGCTACAGCTCCGCGACGGCTACGAAGTTCTGGTTCAGGCCTTTTGTGGGTTCGGGAGGCCGTATCGTATCGTGGATTATTTACTGCTGGCTGGTTTGGTGTGAGAGAAAAACATTGTTCCCGGCTGAAAATTTACGATCGTTTACGAGCAAACGAACAGGCTGTGTGTGCAGTTGTGAATTACTGGATTATCAACGTTGACAAAGAACTCTATACAATGTAAAGGGTGTCCAACAGCCATATTTGATTCTGACTACATCGAGTATACAAGATCAAGTGATCAAAGGTTTGTACAGTAACTTCTCCTATTTGCCCACAGATCGCCTAGTTTTGTATCCACTATAGGTCCTGTTTAGGAGAGATCCACCTTTGAAAATGCAAATATAGAGCACCAGATCCATGTTAAGATGGGATGGCAGGTTATTTGGTGTTGGACTTTTTGATGCTAGACTTCTTGTCTTAGTCGTCAATTAAACTGGGTCTAGAAAAAAAATCTTCCTAACCTTTATCAACTACTATCGTTATGATCCAATTTACTTAATTAACTAAAAAATCAGGTGTTTTTTCTTCTTTGTGTGGTTTTCAAGGTGGTTTAGTTGGTGCGAGCCATGAGAAAAGTAAATCGGACTATCTTGATAGTTTAGGAGGTCAAATAACCTGTACTGAAAAAATTACAAAATATTTTTTAAAAATTTCCAAATATTAGAAAATCTATAGGAAAATGATTTTAGCTTAGAATAATAATGTGAAACCACTTTCAAATTTTCTGTAAAATCATGCTCTATATTATGATGCATAGACTATAATGGTATATATGGTCTCATTTTGATATTTATTTACTAGGATATGTTCTTGCTATCTGTTATAATTAGTCTTCATTGATGACTCATGCTAAGTAGAAGTTCAAGTGATTTTGACGATGACACAAGTGTCATGTAACTACCTTATATTTGATCTTTAGTAAGTACGCATGTGACAACTTGGCCCAAAAGATGGATATGGCTGCAGCCTTTTCTAGTTTGGACAAAATGAACAATCTAGCTCTCTGATTTCTGCCAACTCGTATAGGCCTTACTAGCCAGATATCAGCACATAAAAAAAACATCATTTTATTGCACATAACGTTATTTTGCTTCTTGTGTAGAAACAATAATATGAATTACTCCCTCCATCCTAAAAATATGTTGTATTTCCATTTGTCCAAAGTCAATTTATCTTAAGTTTGATCAAATTTATAGAAAAGTGCAATAATAAACATCATACAAACTCCATTAGAAACATTACGGAATGCATTTTTATAGCATACCTTTTCTATAATTTTAGTTAAACATGTGGTAGTTTTATTTAGAATAAATGAAAATACTCTATATTTCAGAACGGAAGGAGTATGTTTTGTGAGATTTAAATTGTTAGCATAAAATTGACACATGAGAATTGGTTCTGTTCCTTCATTCCTTGTGAACAGCTATGCAACCAATCACACCCGAAACAATGTAAAACGTACAGTAGCTGCAAAAGGCCTTAGGAAAACTAAAGTTCAGAATTTTATTAGACTCTGCGTTATGTGATGGAAACAAAAAAAAAAGAAAAGAAAAGAAAAGGAAAAACAGCCAAGCTTGAGGAGGCCTCGCAAGTCGCAACCAGTCCAGTCCAGGGCTCAACGCCGAGCAGCACCTGCGCTAGTCGCCCCGCCCGCCCCAACCACCAGCGCGCCCACCGCCCGCCGCCGCCGCCGCCACCCACCAACTCCTACCTTCAGTGCGTCACACACCTCAGGACACGGCACGCGCGGACCCGCCCAGCTCACGAGAGTGCTCTGCTTCACCCCGGAGGCGGACGCAGCGCGCCGCCCGCCCGTCCGTGCCTCTCCTTGCTGGGCCGCTATTCCCACCACCCGCGCACCGTCGGCATGTCGCGCCGCGTGAGCGTCGCCCGCAACCAGTGCTTGGAGCTGGAGCGCGTCATCGCCGGCCGTGCACGCTCGGGAAGCCTTGGCCTCGACGACGCGCTCAAGCTGTTCGATGAATTGCTGCCCCACGCCAGGCCCGCCTCGGTTACCGCCTTCAACCAGATTCTCACCGCTGTCTCTCGTGCCTCGGGCCGGTGCTCCTCCTCCACCTCTGACTCAGAGCTGGTCGTCTCTGTCTTCAACCGGATGATCCGTGAATGCTCCACCAAGGTGACTCCCGACCTTTGCACCTACAGCATCCTCATCGGTTGTTTCTGCCGCATGGCCCACCTGGAGCATGGCTTCGCAGCCTTTGGCCTCATCCTTAAGACGGGCTGGAGGGTGAATCACATAGTCATCAATCAACTGCTCAAAGGTCTCTGTGATGCAAAGAGGGTGAGTAAGGCCATGGACGTTTTGCTCCATCGAATGCCTGAGCATGGATGCACGCCAGATGTAGTTTCATACAGCATACTTCTTAAGGGTTTCTGCAATGAAAAGAGAGCTGAGGAGGCACTTGAGCTGCTCCACATGATGGCTGATGGTCAAGGTAGAAGCTGCCCACCAAATGTGGTGTCCTACAATACCGTCATCAACGGTTTCTTTTCTGAGGGTCAAGTGAACAGAGCTTACAGCCTGTTTCTTGAAATGATGGATCGGGGCATTCCACCGGATGTTGTGACATACAACATAGTAATTGATGGCCTGTGCAAAGCTCAAGTGGTTGACAGGGCCAAGGGTGTCTTTCAGCAGATGATTGATAATGGTGTTAGGCCAGACAATGACACATATAACTGTCTGATCCATGGATACCTCTCTATAGGGAAGTGGAAAGAGGTGATAGGAATGCTCGAAGAAATGTCTGCATGTGGTCTTAAGCCAGATTGCTGTACTTATGGTCTATTGCTGGACTTTCTATGCAAGAATGGAAAATGCAGAGAAGCTAGAACTTTTTTTGATACTATGATTAGGAAGGGCATAAAACCTAATGTAACTATCTATGGCATTATGCTTCATGGATATGCTACCAAAGGTGCTCTTTCTGAAATGCATGATCTCCTAGATTTGATGGTAACAAATGGTATTTCACCTAATCATCACATCTTTAACATAGTGTTCTGTGCATATGCTAAATGTGGTATGATAGATAAGGCAATGGATATCTTCAACAAAATGAGGCAGCAAGGGTTGAGTCCTAATGTAGTAAGCTACGGAGCACTAATAGATGCACTATGCAAGATAGGCAGGGTGGATGACGCTGAGCTCAAATTCAATCAGATGATCAATGAAGGAGTGACTCCTGACATTGTTGTTTTTAGCTCTCTAGTTTATGGACTCTGCAACGTTGAGAAATGGGAGAAGGTTGAGGAATTATTTTTTAAAATGTTGGATCAAGGAATCCGTCCTAACGTAGTGTTCTTCAACACATTAATTTGTAACTTATGCAATGTAGGACGGTCATGGAAGCCCTGAGGCTCATTGACATGATGGAACATGTAGGCGTAAGGCCAAATGCTTTCTCATATAATCCGTTAATATGTGGTTACTGCTTAGCTGGAAGGATGGATGAAGCGAAGAAGGTATTTGATGGTATGGTCTCAATTGGCCCGTCACCTGATGAAGTTACTTATAATACTTTGCTTCATGGCTACTGTAAAGCTCGAAGGATAGACGATGCATATAGCCTTTTCCGAAAAATGTTGAGCAACGGCATTACAGCTGGAGTTGTGACTTACAACACTATACTGCACGGTCTGTTTCTAAATGGGAGATTTTCTGAAGCAAAGGAACTCTATCTCAATATGATCCAAACTGGAAAAGAGTGGAACATTTACACATATAGCATAATTCTAAATGGGCTTTGCAAAAATAATTGTGTTGACGAAGCATTCAAAATGTTTCAGAGCCTGTGTTCTAAAGATTTTCAATTTGACATTACTACTTTCACCATTATGATTGGGGCTTTGCTCAAAAGTGACAGAAAGGAAGATGCCATGAATTTGTTTGCTACTATCTCTGCTTATGGTTTGGTTCCGAATGTTGTGACCTACCACTTAATAGCAGAAAATCTCATAGAAGAAGGGTCGCTAGAGGAGTTCGATGGTCTGTTTTCAGCAATGGAAAAGAGTGGTACTGCTCCAGACTCACGTATGTTAAATGCTCTAGTTAGGAGGTTGTTGCATAGAGGTGACATAAGCAGGGTTGGGACTTACCTCTCCAAACTTGATGAGAAGAATTTCTCAGTTGAGGCTTCCACTACTTCCATGCTTATATCACTTTTCTCAACGGATGAATATCAGCACCATGCAAAGACTCTGCCTGAAAAGTATCATTTCCCCAATGAAGCCAACAGTTCAGCGTTGATAAAAAAGTGAATTCAGTTTTCAACTGTTTTGATACATCTTCACATGGCATCTAATTTACCGACCCTGTTCTGCTGTCTCCTTTGTTTGAAGAAACACTCTAGAGAAATCTTATCCTATTAATGCACTTTAGTATCAAGCTCACCAGTTCAAGTTATATTGTTCCAGTCCCAGTTATATAAGTATGTTCAGATGGGGAAACAATTTACAAATTAACAGGTGTAGCAGCATTCGCTCCTTATTGTTGTATATTTTTGTAAGAGATCCTGAAGTCCTGGGGATAAAATCAATCATCTGGAACTTTTTTTCCTGATAAAATTTGTATATCTTAAACCCTGTATTAGTCCCTCACTGTTAGCAGTGGTTACCGTTTGTAATTCCTTGGATTAAGAGAATAAGAACGAGCTCTAACAATCACGCCTCTGTTGTTTCATATAATATCTTCTACATTACTTTTGATGTTTTTGTTTCTATATTCACCATTTCTGGATGGGCTGCAAGGTTATAAAAATGAATGTTGCCTCTACAGGGCAGTTTCATGTATGTCTACATGATCTGCAAGCTCAACGCCTAGTACAGGCCCAGCATGCTTGTTCCTTCTGTTATCATTCCTCTGTGAAGTAGAGTTCCACTGGTGCTTTCGAGGTATGTTGTAAACTCAAAAGTGTGTTTGTGATCTTTCCTGTTAGATGTTTCCTATTTATGCAATGTGGGCAATGTGGGCATTGTCTATTATTGGCCTGCTGAGCATTTGTTTGTGAGTGGTAACATTAGTCTTGTGAAATTTCTCTTGTTGACATTGAACATGTAACCATACAATATTGCATAATGCTTCTGCATCTGTGGTATATATTTTTCTTTGAAACAAAAATCAAGAGCCCTGAATGCTTTTTTTGTTTTAGAAGAAGGGCTTGTGCTTATACTTGGCACTGTGTAACTCACATTCATTACAGAGAAGAAATGGTTGATTCAGTGTGCCATAACATGCAGTTGTGACTTATAATACTATACTGCATGGTGTTTTTGAAACTAGGAGATTTTCTGAAGCAAAGGAACTCTATCTCAATATGATCAGAAGTGGAAAAGAGTGGGACATTTACACACACAACATAATTCTAAAAAGTCTTTGCAAAAATAATTGTGTTGATGAAGCATTCAAAATGTTTCAGAACCTGTGTTCTATGGATCTTCAACTTGACATTATTGCTTTCACCATCATGATTGGTGCTTTGCTCAAAGGTGGCAGAAAGGAAGATGCCATGAATTTGTTTGCTACTATCTCGGCTTATGGTCTGGTTCCGAATGTTGTGACCTACAACTTAATAGCGGAAAATATCATAGAAGAAGGGTCGCTAGAAGAGTTTGACGGTATGTTTTCAGCAATGGAAAAGAGTGGTACTGCTCCAGACTCACGTATGTTAAATGCTCTAGTTAGGAGGCTGTTGCATAGAGGTGACATAAGCAGGGCTGGGACTTACCTCTACAGACTTGATGAGAAGAACTTCTCACTTGAGGCTTCCACTGCTTCCATGCTTATATCACTTTTCTCAAGGGAGGTATACCAACACTTAGCAAAGTCCTTGCCTGAAAAGTATCGTTACCTCAATGGAGCCAACAAAATGAGTGTTGTCGGGGTTATGATACCCCGAGATAAGTATCTCAAGGCACCAATTAGATAGCCGCTCGGGCGGCCCACGGTACGCCAGCTAGTATAAGCCCAAACGATCGAGGCCCAGCTAAGCTAAGTGGACCGGGGCAAACACTAAGGCCGGGGGCAGCCATGACCCCTTCCCTCTGTCTTAGCTGCACGCCGCATGAAGACTCACGACCTCTCCACCGTCCCGACCCCTGGGAAGAACAGGGAGAGATCGAGTCCAGCCAACAGAGCAGGCACGCCGCACTGACCCCGCAAGGACCGATGGGACAACGGTCACCTCAGTTCGGCCAGACGCCATCCCTGCGCTACGCAGCAGAGACAAGACAACACCGCCAAACGGTGATGGCCAGTACGGCGATCCACCATCCAAATACGGCCCGACAAGATACATGTATGACTCCACCCACTACGGGATGGGATCCACGACGGTGGCCTTAACTTAGAGGCCACCGAAGCCGACAAGAGCCATAGGCAGCAAGACAATCGGCGACCTGGGGGCGGCTACCAACTCCTATACAACGCCCCCGGGAGATCAGGAAGCGATGACGAAGGCCACGTCGCGCAGGACGGTTGGCGAAACACCAACGTGCCCACAGTGCCGCCATGAATGGCACTATAGCACCACGTCACACTATGCCGCGACGTGGGCACAAGACCATGATGACAACCACGCCCAGACATGCACAAGACGGCGTTACTTGCAAGCCAAGTTAGCTAGGTTCCCTCCCTTAGGCTCACGACCCCTCGGTCGGGAGAACCTCCTTCTTTATATGTGACCTGGCCCCAGACTCTATATAAAGGCAGCCAGGGCACCCTTCCAAGGAGGATCGGACTCTCGAAGCTCTCACTCGGGCAGTCCATCTTCTAGCTCTAGCTCTCCTACCTCTTCCACCATTCTTGCACTCCCTATTGTAAGAACTTCAGAGCATTCAAGCGAGGAACACGCACTCGATCATCTCTGAGACTGGACGTAGGACTCCGGCCTCAACCAGTAGAACTCCTCGTGTCTTTTGGATGCTACCATCGTCTTCCTAGAGCAGCGCGACATTCATATAAATTTACTAGCCGGTTTACAAAACACCGACAAGTGTAGACAAAGAAATGAATTCACTTTTCAACTGCACTGATCATCTTTTTGTGACAATGTAATTTTTTTGGAGTGACTATTCTGTCTTGTGTTCTAATTTTTTTTGCCATGCTCTGTGCTTCTGTGGTATTCTTTGAATGATGAAATTCTCCTGAGAAATGTTCTCCTGTTAGTGCACTTCAGCATCAAGTTTATCAACAGGTAAAATAATCTTGTGGACAATCCTAGTTAGCTTTACAGCAGGAATTGGTTTACAAATTAATGAGTAGCACTGTACTCTACCTTTAATTGCATAATCTGTGAATAAACCCTGCACTCCCAGCCATAAAATCAATAATGTGTACCTATATTTAAGCTTGTGTATCTTCCCCCACTGTTAGAGGTGGAAAATGCTGCTTATGGTTCCTCACACAAGCTATGTTGACAGCAACAGTTATAAATTGCTTTACTGTTTTGATTGGTTACCTATAAGAGGCTCCCCTAGTATTTCCACTGACTGTACTGCTTTATTGTTGATAATGAATGCAGCTGTGCATAAAGCAGATCTCTGCAGTTCTTTGGAAATGAGGTTAGAATTTTTTTTCCCTCCCCTCTGCAATCTGGTCACCTTTGCAGTATCATTCTCCTAAGGAAGCCTACAAATAAGCATTATGTTAAATGACTTGTATCCTCAACTGTATGTTAAATGACTTGTATCCTCAACTGTACCCATACATCTTCATGTGACATGTAATATCTGTCTCCTGCACTAGTTTACTGACCATGTAGTTAAGAGGCCTCTTTCAGATGCTTGCTTATCCACACCATCCAGTAAGTTAACAAAACTCTTTTGGTTTACTAATTTACAATTGTATATGTATGCAACACATACAGGCAGTTTGGATTTGCACACTTGCAAAACACATGAACCCCTAACATTGGGGATGCAGCGGGGGGCTCTACATATTTCTAGCACACACCCATTGCTACTCCTTCTATTCTTGTGAGTAGCATTTTTTTCAGTCATCTATGGTAACAAGATGTCCTGTCGAAGTTTGATGCTTTTCAGAAAGTAGCATGAGGCTGCCCGGGGTCTCTGTTGACATAGCATTATTACTATATCCTAGTGTTCTTGCTTTCATCAGGCTGAATCTGTAAAAATGTAAAATGCTGCATGTTAAACAGTTTGAACTAAGATGCACTTCAGTAGTCCAATTGTAACAAACCAAATACATGGTCTGGTACTAGTAGCATGGTTAATCAACACATGGTCTGTAATTCTAAAATCAACACATGGTCTGGTACTGGTAGCATGGTTAATCAGCAACATATTTCTAATTTTAACCGAATTCTCCGCAGGTTTGTTCCTCCGATGCTGTTTTGATGCTGAATTCTGAAACAGCATGGACGCTGAGCTCCTCTCACGTCACTGTAGCAAAAAGTTGGAAGCTGAGCCCATTTGTCTGAAGTTGGGAGTTGCTGCCCTCAGCTGAAGCAGGCGAATACCACCAGCTCCTGAGCTGCTCCATCTAGAAAAGAGGCAGCGGAAGCCTCCTCTGGTTCTCACTGGCTTCATATTGAAGCTGGCCACCGGCAACAGGAAGGGAGGTCCCGGGTCAGAGCTCACAAGTCGACCGTTTGGTCGCCTCACCTGGGTCACCGCTCAATCTGGTGGCAAAATTTGGATCCAAGGACTACGAGTACCCGGTCACAGCATGGACTCTGGTCAATACTTTGTTTCTCAGAGAACTCCCTAATCCAATATTTTGTAGAAGCCTCCTCGCGATTAACATTTATTTCATTTTGCGACCAATATTTGCAGGAAAAAAAACCCTTTAACTTACATAAAGCCACCTTGTCTACACAAGTGAAGTTCCATTGATCCAGAAAGATTGTCTGGTTCGCTTTAACATCTGTTGACAAATTATAATAATATAAGACTTGTAACTGAATGACTTTCAGGTTGCTAAAGTTCATTGTGTTTCCAGTAGAGGCTTTCTTTTTCCTCTCTCTGCCTTATGAGATTCAGTAGTTGAAAGTGGATTACATTGTGGCACAAGGCTGTTTAATTTGTTCTTATCTAAAAAAAATTGAATTGTCAAAGTCATGCCACTGGTTGGTTTAGGAAGAGAAATTTCGATATTTGAAGGGCAGTGGAAGCTGGAAGAGTGACCTGGACAAAAGTTTGTCATCAACTTAAGCTTGAATCATGGACGAGAGCTTCTTGGGTTTGGCACCATACCACCAAATAAATTATGGTCATTAGGCTTATTCTTTGATTAGTTTGCGTAGTCATTTTCAACTAGAGGCCATGCTTTGCTTTATGTGTTGCTTCCTCATATGTTAAATCTGTAGTAGTATTTTTCATACATGTTAAGTTTGATTCACCGTTCTTTCTATTTTGTGTGCATGAAGTATAAGATACTATATTCCTAAAAGGTGCTTCAGAACTGTGAAGGTTGCGTGCTATGCTAAGGTCATTGGGATTAAGTAGCATAAATTGCATGCCAATTTCTTCTAAAAGGATATGGCGATGCGTCTGATTTTTCTTCTTTGATTCTACATGACTATTTTCAAGACATACATGACTTGGGCAACCTGTAAAGTGCTGCATCAAGCCTCTGATTCTACAATTTACACGTACCTTTTGTTCCCCGGATTGAAAACAAAGGCTGTAGCACCCTCTTGGGACATCTATACCCTTCTTCGTGTCTCTGTTTTGTACTAGGTTCCCATGATGTAAATAACTGAAACCACTATTATTATGGTAGTTATGAAACTGAATTTCTTTGGTACTTCATATGATATATCATCCATGCTCTTCTGTTTTGTTCTCTTAGCTTTACCACTTCGCAGCTGGAAGCAGCCAAAATGTTTGATGACATTCCTCTGCAAATGCTATCTAATTAAAGTGGATGTGGTTGTAGTGCTACCCTAGGACAATGCAGTAAATTTAAGCCCTTTGGTCAGCTAAGGATTAGTGTGGAGTGTTTTAGTGAGGTCTCATTTCCAGTGGTCTAATATCAATACTTTCTTAAGACTGCAAGCCTCATTTGCTTCTTTTTATTTTAGTGTCCTTAACATGGAATTGTTAGATTGATACACTGGCATTTGTTTTCAGTAATTAGATTGTGCACCATTATGCAACAAATTATTCTTCCATTATCCCTTTTCCCTGTAGCATCATTTTTATCAGTCTATGACCTAGCTACATAATTATTTGTTCGAATTAAAAATTTTCCTGTAAGAAGGGCGGGCTTGGTGTAAGCGGTAGAGTCTTACCGCCTGTGACCGGAAGGTCCCGGGTTCGAGTCGCGGTCTCCTCGCATTACACAGGCGAGGGTAAGGTTTGCCACTAACACCCTTCCCCAGACCCCGCACAGAGCGGAAGCTCTCTGCACTGGGTACACGCCTTTTTTTAAAAAAAAAATCCAATAAGTACCCCTCCAACATTTACATCGAATTCCACCAAATGCATCAAAAAATGGTTGGCTAATTTTTGCTACTACCTACTCTTATTTATTTGGGATTCACGATACGGTGGCATCCTTCTCACAGTTTGCAGAAAAACTGTTCATTTCAATTGTGTATAGGCTTCATTTCTAGGAATATTAATATGTGTAGGCTGGATGAGTTTGATTGAAACATGAAATGTCAACAAGCAACTGGATAGGTAAATGCAGCTCTTTTTTTAAAAAAAAATATGTAAGTGATTGCATTACTTGTGATCACAGAATATAAATTCAGTTCATGTCAAAATTGGTGAACAGGCAGCATGGTAGTGTATCTCAGTAAACCTTGGGAACATGCCATGGATCTCTCCCATGAATTTTATAAGGATTTCTGTTGTTAGAAATCCCATTGCGTTTCCTACTCTTTGTTTATTATTAATTTTCAGGCATAATTCATTCATAATCATGATACAAGTTCCAACATGATTGGAGTTACTAGCCCATTTGAAAACTGGCCTGTGCCTGCTATAACAAGATGTGCAAAATAAATGTCCACTGGAACGAGAAATGTGGCTGATATGGGAGTAGAGATCAGCCCCATTGTTGTACTCTGATATCTTCTTGCTGCATATTCTTTTTATGTATTTGGAAGCTATGCTGATGCTTTGACAAGGCATGATATACAAGAGTGTCTGCTATTCTAGTAACTTTTCTTATTTCACCTCTCTGGTCTCTTAAGCTGTTGAAGAAGATATTACGACCAAGACGAAATCGACTCGATAGAGTACTCAAACAAAACGGTGGCCAATGTTTAACTTCTCTTATCATCATGCAGGACATGGTAACACGACCGACAAGGGAACAAGGGTTATTGACAAGTTGGGCAAAAAAGAAGCCGTGAAGACGATGCATTCCCAGGAAAATCATCTCAAGGAGCTCCAGGCTACCATTATGGACTTAAAAGCTGAAATCACCGAGCTCAAGATTTTCATTGGAATCAGCTCGTTCTCAAGGAAAGGTGTAGATGATAGGGGTCTTGTATTCGAATCGGTTTGATTGTTTAAGGAATTGTAGTTGTTAGTTAGTTGACGATGGTGTCAGTAATTTACTAATAGCGTATAGCTAAAATAAAGATGGTTCACCCTGTCAAGGTTATATATGATCCTTGTACTGACTAGGTAGGTGATGGTCCATGCGTTACAACGGGCATACAAATTGACTGTGATCACTGGAGTTTGCGTGAACAGAGATGAGATCTTTATAGATGTTCAGTCGACATATTCAGTGTTCATTCGATTCAGTGACGATCTTTTCTACTGGAGATTTGTTTATTTTTAGCTACCATAGTTTTGGTACAAGCGTATAAGTACGTTGGTGTTGAGACTTGAGAAGAATAGCTTCCTTCGGCCTTTCTGCAAGTCTTTTGCTACAGTCAGCGTTCTCATTTGGAAGACATATGCAGCACAAGGCATTATTTATTTATTAAATTAACTGGAAAATGTGAGACTTTACTGGATTGAGCCTTTGTGAACTTATCTGGTTTGGCTAGTTGCCTATATTATATTAGTTGGTCCTAATAGCACACAAGGAGTCAGTAAGAAATTAGAGTGCATCGAATCTATGTGATGGCTTCATGTAAGCATGACTGTTACTGTGGTGCTAACATAACATTCAGACGGACGGACACATAAGACAGCAGCATGTGCATCAATCAAGAGCCAATAAACCCAGGGGCCAAAATTAATCTCATCCCATATATATATAGTATACATATGAAAGGAATTGACAGAAATTGGATCTCAAGTTGACAAATACAGTAGATTCTATCATCGTCAGATTCAATACTTTACCTAGTCATCAAATTTCCAATTTACAATCTCATTGATTCAGAGGGAAGGGCTCGCTGTTGGCGGCCTTGTCCAGTGCAGACCAGATGCCCATGGCCTGCCGTTGAATCGGCATCCCGTCCCGTTAACATCCGTACGTATAGGAGAATCCATCTAAACCACACACAATCCAAGCCAAGCTAGCTTCATGATTCGATTCTTCCAGTGACGAATGGAGATTTACTAATTGATCATAATGTGTTCTTGGACGGGTAGCACCGTAGCAGTAGCAGCGAGAGGCCAGTAGCAGCGAGAGGCAGGCCGGATGTTGTATCGACTTGGACTGGAGCATTGTTTTAGGAGTCCGGTGGTTTTGGCAGGTGATCGATCAGTTGAGTGCTTCTGCTTTGCATTGCTCGCTACAGCTCTGCGACGGCTACCAAGTTCTGGTTCAGGCCTTGTTTTCGGCTGGCTGGCTGGCTGGTGCTGGCCAGCCCACTCACGCGGGGGCACTGTTCACATGAACAGTGTCTTTCAGCTAGAACAGTATTTTTCTCTCACAGTAATCCAGCCGGAACAGTATTTTGAGCATATTCAACCAGCCAGCCGAACACTCCTGCTCAACGACCATGTGAGGTCTAGTTGGAACTTGGAAGCTCCCTCTTCCTTGGCTGCTATCTCAATGAAGGCCATAGACAGTTGATCACAGTCCAGTCTTGTTCAGTGACCGCTGTTGCCTTCTCGGCTTCACTTGCCACTGACAGTGGATCACCACTTCACCCCTGCTACCAGTTATATATGTCACTGCTCCTGGTCGCTTGGCACAGGCTGTGGTCAGCGGTCTGCCAAAGACCAAGGAAAATATGAATCAACTACAATACAGTTTAAATGGCTCTTAAAGATCTAAGATTAAGAAACAAGTAAACAAAAGTTATGGAAGGATGACCACCTCATTTCACAGACCATTGGCCATAGGAAATTTCGCAAAATATCTTCATTCTACAACAGAGATCCTCCTTTCATTTGAATATACTCCAGGTCTGTGTGACTGTGTCTGCTGTCAAATTTAAAAGCTGCAAACACTAAATAAATTACGTTCGTTTTAACACAGAAAAGACTCTTGACAAGTGTGCCCACTTTTACATCTCTCAATTTCAACTTCTAAGTTAGATCATATTAGCCTTCCAGTAAACCATTTATTCTCTTGATACCAGAGCCTAGTATTACAACTTCTAAGTTAGATCATATTAGCCTTCCAGTAAACCATTTATTCTCTTGATACCAGAGCCTAGTACTAGTACGAACCATATACTGTAGCCGACTCAGAACTCTTATTTTGAGACTTCACTGTTAACCATTCAACCGTGCCCCCTCCACTTTTATCCGGGCTTGGAACCGGCATTGGCAGTGTTAGGCACCCCCTACCCACCTACACTACCCCCTAGTATAATAAGCATATTAACAAGAAAATAAATTCAAACAGCTACGAGGCAAAGATAACCACAAACAGCTGAAGCAAATGCAACCATCATAAGGAGAATATGCCTTGGAACCAAAGAAGCACAATAGGTGACATTTGTCAGTACTCAAGTTTGCCATCAGGTGACCACCACTTTTATTCCTATCATTAGTACAGTTAGCATAGACCACCATTTTATGGGGCTCAAGAACATCAAGTGACTACTACTCATTTATTTGCCATAAGCCCATAACTAGATCAAAATATTTTCTATTAAAGTAGGTCTTCATGTTCTCTTTGTGATGATAATTTAGAGAAGTATTACAAGAACAGGGTGGGACTCGATATTTTGAAGAAATAAGACACAAGACTTGGTGCCAATAAATCTAGCATGCACCTTGGCCTAAGTCAAATGCAACACTATTAGAGAATGCAACCATCAGACCATTTTTCTTTGATATTGTCACAGATTGAGTTACAACTCAAAACACTAGACCCTCATTTCCTCCAAGGAGCACCCAGCGACCAAATCAAACTACAAATGAAAGCTCAAAGAGAAAGAAGCTATGTGAATGGAAAAATTATGAAACTTCATGTTCAAAATGGAGCTATACAGACATCTTTACGTATGTAAATGCATGTGTCCCCAGAAATTGCAAAGCCACCCTTCCAATTTAATACTATCAGTTGCACAGTAGACAAGAAAAAAAAATTATGAATCCACTTCGTTCTTTAACAAAGAAAACCGAGGAGTGTGTATGAATGACAAGTTCTTGTAAGAGTTAAACAAATACATCAAAATTACAGACAAGAATTTTATTGCTAAACAGATCATCAAAATTGCAGACTAGATTAACCTTGTTCTTAAATAAAGGACAAGACACAAATGTAGGTTAGGCACATCAAGCTGAACTCAAGATGAACATAGCCAGAAACAACAAGTAATATTAGGTACCAAACTCATGTGTCAACAAAATAAAATAAGCAGATTATTTTTTTATTGTTTGTTTTTTTTAAAAAAAAAATAAGTCATGCGCTTAGAACTGTCAACAAGGAGACAAAAGACGCAACTACACAAAATATATGGCAAAAGCTATCAGAATTACAATATGTACACAACCCTATATTTGATGAACAACACAAACATAACGCAGTTGATCATGAAGAGAATAAACTTGACAGTTTAGTATACATGTGCAGGAACAAAAAGATCTCGAAGACTATGCATAAGTTGCTATGCACTGTGATTTGTGCAACATCCAGACTTTATCTTTTCAGAATTATAGTGATAATCAGCAACAAACAATTAGGGTATAAAGCAGGTGTTAGAATCATTAGTATTCAATAACAGAGATATGTTAGAATCTACAAGTCAAGCTACAATTTCCAAAATGTTTTGACAAACCACATTGCTCTTTTCTACCCCTGGTTTATCTTACTCAAAAACAAAGATTAAAGAGCCTAGTACCTGTGGATGAAAATTGAACATCCATGCTTATATTAACAAATATAGGTTGCAATAATGGTTCTACAGCGACATCCATATTAACTGCAACTCCTGAATGCTTTACGATCAAAACTAGTGGGGAACATAAATTACAGGACAAGACAACAGTCAAAGACTCGATGACACTAGAACGAACATACCAGGAAATGACGGACTAACATAAGCCAAGTAATATGGGTCCATGAAGCCAAAGTTCAAATCCAAATTAGTTTAGATTTTTTAAATCCATATCAAAGCCCGTACAGAAGTAAACAACAAATTGGCATTAAATCAAAGAACAGTTAAACTCCATACATAAGCAACCATCTACCTTCTCACGAGACTCACTTGTCAGGAAACATGTTAGATGGAACACAACATAATCCAGAACAGCTCACTTGTCAGACAACAATACTGCATGTTAGAATCCTAAGCAAGACAATAGTAGCAATCCAACCACCTAAAGACTTAGTCAGAAAACAGAACCAACTTCCCGATCTGTAAACCACCCAGTGAAAACAGAACCAGACTTCCTGATCTGTAAACCACCCAGTGAAAACAGAACCATACTTCCCGATCTACAAACCTGGAGAGGCATAACAATGAGCAAACTGAAAACCTCAAGTCAGGACTAATAAAGACAAAAAGGACAAATACTAGATCCATCAGTTTTATTACTCAAATAGGAAAGAAAAATTCCAACTCTAACGGGAATAAAACCACATTGCATTGAGTCAAGGATGCACTGAAATAAAGCACAAAGCTCTACAATATGTAGATATGGAAAAAAGAATACGAAACTAGGTCTCTACAGCATTTAGATACGAAAAAAAAAAAGGATCACGTTACTTCAGTTAAATGAACAGAAAGATGGAACTAGGTCTCTACTGCCTGTACATATACGGAAAAAAGAAGGATCACATTACTTCAATTCAATGAACAGAAATATGGAACTAGGTCAGCATGACAGGCTGAGAACTGAAGCACACTTAAACTATGAAGCTGTACCAACATAACATGTTCAATAATATTGTGCGCGGCTTATTAGAGACATGGCTTGAAAACTTTATGACCTTTACATATAGGAAGAGAGTAACTAAAGAATAGTACAACAAATGATATTAAAACCAAAAGTCTGCAGATGACATTTTCAGCCAGCAATGAGCAATGTTGCAGAACGTCCAAATGCGCATGTGACAAGAAGAAATTTAGCTCATTGCAGATAGAATATAGAATAAATTGCACCGATCTATAAAATTCAAGCAGCATGTTTGTGCGATACCAA